CAAAGAACTATACAGTGTGGTATAAATGTACATGTGCTAATCAAGCCAAGATGAACATACCTTCTTGATCTAAGGATAAGAGGTTTACAAAATTTCACCAAAGCAGTGTTAGAAATTTCACACTGTGAAAAGGCGTGTGGTAGTACAAATGGGGAAAGACCAACGATCCTCTGGATAAGAGAAATTTCTTCTGATGATAAACACTCAACCACTGATATACCATTCACTCCTGCATAATAAATAACGAAATCTGGTTGTCTCACACTAGACAGGAGCAATTTTACATTCTGACTATGTAGATGCTTCATTATTGCTTTTGTCTTTTCTATAATCCAAAATTGAGATGTCTGAAACTGTGCTTCTGAATTTAGAATAAACTCTGATCCAGAAGTGGAAAAAAGAGGCTGAATGGTTTCTGTTACTATCACCATTCGTATGTCACCATCTGCTGGGCAGTACATAGAAAAATCTTTCTGAAGCACAAGCCCAGCTATGATCCTGGAATCTGAAACAGGAAGGCCAGTGACACCAACATTCAACTCTACAAAACAGTCATCCACTAACTCAAATACATCAATCCCACTTTTACAAGTCATACACTTGAAAAAGTAGTCACACATTAACTGTGAAATAAATTTGTGATTATTTCTTCCCACTCTTCCACAAAAGTATGCTTCTAAGAGCAACTCTAAAGAGCTCCTACACAATGTCCTCTCTTTAGCAGATGAAAAGATAGACAAAAAGTGTCTGCTTAGGTACTGGTCCATAATACCATCTAATACTTGTGTCTGAAAAGTTAGGAGAGCCTGGGAAATAAATTTCCACTGACAACAATTTTTCCAATGCCTTCCGTACATTTGAATGTTTTCACACATCAAAGAATCCTTTTCTCTCTCTGTGAACGCATGAAGTCCTCTAAGCAAACGGCAAAGATAGATAATAAATGTTTTTGCACCATCTCCTGTTTTTTTGAGATGACTGGAAACACAGTCCACTATCATCCTGCACAAAAAAGAAATAAAGCAACTCATTTTCAGAAGGCTGGCTTCCCACATCTAAATTAAGTTAAAACCATGTTTTCACAGCTATAAGCACAAAATTAGAATATTGTTCATTTGATACATTCTTATTTTCTTTTCTTGAAAAAAACCTCTGCTTTATCCCAAGATTCCACAGTTGGGTGGAGAGGGAAAAAGTGTTTTTGGGAATTGGTTAAGATTTGGAGTACAGGAGTGTTCCCTTGGCCAGGGTTCTAATTCCGAGCATACAGCGGCTTCACCCTAGGTCAGTCTTTCCAAGTACTCTAAGAATAGCCTCAGGATGGGACAAGAGGACCACAGAGGCTGCCTGGGGTGCCCAGCTACGGGCTAGCGTACGGGACGCGGATACCTGGCTATGGGATGCTCTAAGTGCAGCGCCTCCAGCAGGCGGCCTCCATTCCGGCTGAGCAGCACCTCGCCAGTGGGCTTCGTACACAAAACTTGCCGCCCCTCGGGCCCCACACAGCAGCTCACGATGGCTTCCAGCACCTCGGTCACCTGCAACGCCGCCTTCACAGATCCTGCGGCGGCCATAGAACTTAGCATCTGGGCCACTTTCCCTTTTTTGCCAGCTTGCGGAACACCAATGCCGACGAAAAGAGGAGTGGGAGCGGCCGGAAACGGAATAGGCGGGGAGAAAACCGGAAGCAGGTTGAGAAGCCTCGGTAGCGGGACTTCTTGGTTGGGCGAAAGCGCTGCCCTTCCGCCCGCTAGGAGGAAATGCCCTGCCGCTTTGCCAGCTGGCGTGAGCTGGCCCGCTGTCCGCGAAGTTAGAAAAAAAGGCCAGGATTTCCGGCAGCTGTGCCTGGAGCGGCAATCTTAAGCCCTTCCCCTGTTCCCCAGGTGAATTCATTTTCCTCCAGTGGCGTCAGCTGCCCCCAAATCCTTTAGTCTCCTGAGAAGCTTTTTTCCGAAATCAACACGGTAGTGGGCCTGCGTGGAGAGGGCACCAGGGTTGGAACTCGGCTGGCTTTCATCCCCTGCTAGAAGCTGCTTGTTAGTGGGCAAAACCTCTGCTTTGGATTCACTGTCCACATTCTCCACCAGTTGTTCTCCTTACCGTCACGGAAATAATTTCTAGATGCAGGACAGGTGCGAAGGGTCTAGCTACAGCCATGAATTGCAGGCTTTATGTCTGCTGCTGAGGTTTTACCACATTCCCTAGACTTAGGTATCACAATAAAACTCTAGACGCCACAAATACATTACTTTTTTTTTTTTTTTTTTTTAGCAGAAATGACGTGAAGATTCATTCATTCATTCATTCGAGATGGAGTCTCGCTCTGTCGCCCAGGCTGGAGTGCAGTGGTGCGATATTGGCACTCTGCAACCTCCACCTCCCGGGTTCAAACGATTCTCATGCCTCAGCCTTCCAAGTAGCTGGAATTACAGGTATGCGCCAGTGTGACCAGCTAATATTTGTATTTTTAGTAGAGACAGGGTGTCACCATGTTGGCCAGGCTGGTCTCAAACTCCTGACCTGAAGTGATCCACCCGCCTCAGCCTCCCAGAGTGTTGGAATTACAGGCGTGAGCACTGCGTCCGGCTGATGTGAAGATGTAAATCCATTAGTCACGTTGGTGATCAACAGTATGCTTTAAAAACACACTGGCCAGGGATTATCGTATATAATCCAATGACAGAGAATGCTGTCTCTTATATTACAACACTTTTTTTTTTTTGAGACTAGGTCTCACTCTGCCGCCTAGGTTGGGGTGTGGCGATCATAGCTCACTGCAACCCTGCGTTCCTGAGCTCGTGATCCTTCTGCCTCAACCTCCAAGTCACTTCGTGCCTTGCTAGGCCAGTTATTTTTATTTAGTAGAGATAGGATCTCCTTATGCTGCCCAGCCTGGTTTTGAATTCATGGCCTCAAGTGATCCTCCAGACTTGGCCTCCCAAAGTGTTAAGATTACAGGCATGAGCCACCTTGCCTGGCCTAAAACACACGCACTTGAGAGTATGGGCTTTGGATTCAGACCTGGGCTTGCTGTTATTTCCTTACCTGTGGCATTTACCAAGTAACCTCTTTGATCTCTGCTTTTCTCATCTTTAAAAGCAATTGGCCTGGCTCATGCCTGTAATCCCAGCATTTGGGGAGGCCAAGGCAGGCTATCACAAGAGGCTAAGAGTTCGAGACCAGCCTGGCCAACACAGCAAAACTCTGTCTCTACTAAAAATACTAAAAATATAAGAGTTAGCTGGGCATGGTGGTGCATGCTTGTAATCTCAGCTACTCTAGTGGCTGAGGCATAAGAATACCTTGAACTTGGGAGGGGAGGTTGCAGTGAGCTGAGATTGTACCACTGCACTCCAGCCTGGGGGACAGAGCAAGATCTTGTCTCAAAACAAAACAACCCCACCAAAAAAAACCAATGGATATAACATAAATAAAAGAAAAATTTCAAGGTTTCGAGGAGATGAATGTTCACTATACCTGCATAGTGGCTAGCATAGTTAGCACTCAACATTAAAATATTTATAGTACATCTGTTACAGGAAAAGGGTCCCAGTCCAGACCCCAAGAGAGAGTTCTTGGATCTCATGCAAGAAAGAAATTCAGGGCAACTCCATAAGTGAAAGCAAGTTTATTGAGAGAAAAAAAAAAATAAAAGAATGGCAACTCATTGGCAGAGCAGCCCTGAGGGCTGCTGGTTGCCCATTTTTATGGTTATTTCTTGATTGTCTGCTAAACAAGGGGTGGGTTATTCATGCCTCCCCTTTGTAGACCATATAGGGTAACTTCATGATGCTGCCATGGCATTTTTGTAAAGTGTTACTGGCACTGGTAGGAAGGTAGCTGCGAGGACAACTAGAGTTCACTCTCGTGGCCATCTTGGTTTGGGTTGGTTTTGGCTGACTTCTTTACTGCAAACTCTTTTATCAGCAAGGTCTTTATGACCTGTACCTTGTGCCAACGTCCTGTCTCATCCTGTGACTTAGAATGCCCTAATCATCTGGGAATGCAGCCTAGTAGGTCTCAGCCTTATTTTACCCAGCCCCTACTCAAGATGGACCTGCTCTGGTTCAGATGCCTGATACACCCACCAAATTACTGTGGTAAGTCACCACTCTCCTGGTTCGTTATTCCCACAAGTGATATTTTGTAAGATGCAGAAGATTCAGCTAGCATAAGAGCACAACATAGATCATCTGTGAGATTCAAAACATGCCACTATTAGCAAGAAAATGATCTTGCTAATATTTCACTGAGGTTGGACAATGAGGGGCTGTTTTCCTTACTCCTTATTGCTATGACCAAGATAGAAGGAACCAGCAGGCCCTCCTATCTTTTTCTCCCCAATTAATAAAACCAAACCAAATGACAGCCAGAAGCCATTGGACGCTGAGCGGAGAGCAAGAATGGGAAGAGAGGAGGGTGGGGGAAAAACCAGAGAGAAATGATGTCTTGGAACTCATCTGATATTGACTCAGTATGGACTAATAGGTGTAATCTGAGGAGGAAAAAAAAAAAAAAACTTTCATAGGGATTTCGTATATGTTTGTTTAATAGTAGGGTTTTTTTCTGGTGCTACTCATAACAAAGGGGTTACATTATTCAATAGAGATTCAAGCAGTGAATTATATTCCTGACATTTGGAAGCGAAGTGCTATGGTTAGCGTTCTATTTAAGTGTACAATGGAGATACAGATTCAAACTCTTAAGAAAGAGTGGGCTACCAGTCTTACTCTGTAACTTTTGGAGACTTTCAACCTCTCCAAGCCTCACTGTCTTCATGCATAAAATCTGGCTTACTTCCACTTAAGGCTCTCATAGAGGATTCAAGAAGAATGAATATAAAGCACCAAGCAAAGCATACTTCAGGGATTCTCACTGTTGAATCCCTTTCCAGTTTTCTGCCATCCTTTGCGGCTATCTCTACACCCCCAAAACGGAGTACTAAAAAAAATTAACACTAATTTAGTCACCATGTTGTATTAAAAGTCACTTGATCACACTTTGCTCTTTTACAAAATTTTATTTAGAAGCCTACTTATAGAAGTTAACATAATTTTACAGATTATTAGAAAAATTCAATTCTTTTCTTTTTGCAAACAGTTATAATAGGTTAGGAATAATAGGTTAGAAATGTACTACATTACAAAACAGTGGCCTATAACTATCTGTACATTTACTATGCACCTTAAGGAAAAGAATTTGACAGTGTGCTGTACTTACACTGCAGGTAACATATTTTTATTCTATCACACAAAACTGACCAGTGGTAGTGCTTGAGTTTATAAATGGTCATTAAACAAAATATTTAAACTCAGATGTATATTTAGCATGCCAAAAAGTGAAAAAAAATTTCAACGGAAGTTCTGTGGCTCATCAGTTCAAATGTTTCATGGCATTTTTTTTTAAATGATAAAATTTGATATTATAAAACCAAAACAATTTTACATAACAAATGCAAAAAGATAAAATTTCCTAAATTTTTAGAAAGAATATTCACATTCATTTTGTCATGGGTTTCATGTGGCTCTTCTAAATATATTAATCATATTAATAAGACACTGGTCCTATACAATTTTAACAGTCCATCTTCAATTAAAAGCTGTAACAAAAACAAACAGTATGTAAGGGTAACAAAAAGTAAATTAAATATACTAAACTCAAACAACTGATAGAATAAAATGAAACCAAATTACATAATGGCAGGTTATATATTTTAAAGACTCTCTTTCCACTTAGTCAAATAAGATAGAAATTGAAATGTAAACTTACTGATTTCTGTGGGGCTTTCCCCACTGGTTCAGACTGGAAAATTTGATATAAATCTAATATTTTATTTATGTACATTTAATATGATTCAGTATAATCTGCAGTCTCATGTATGGCTTATCAATGATGCCGTCATCACTGTATGTCAAACAAAAAAAACCTCACTGCTTACTAGAAATGCTAAATACTGGAAAAATGGAATTTTATACATTTGTTTTCTTAAATTTTGACAGATATTCTTCAAAAAGTTAAAACTGCCTTCCACAAAATTTTGTATGTATATGGCACAAGCTGACAGCCAAAAAAGTGTGAATTCCATCGAAAAGGCACTGTTAACAATACTCAGAATAATCTGACAAGTCTACATCAATGTCTGAGTAAAGAATAGGTAAATAGACAAACCCTTATAAAAGATAGCATTATTGTTTAAATATACTATAGCTATATAAAAAGAAAGTGACACAGAAATGACCCTTTTATGACAACTAAGCCTATAAACACCTTGAATCATATTACTTCTGTAACACAAAAATGACAAAACATATTTTCTTAAAGGCACAACAGCATGAATATTAAACGAAAACTGTATTTTACAAGGCCAACTTTTCAATGGAACGCAGTTGCCAACTGAGCTGTGGCCAAGAGTACACTGTACCTAAATGATACAAAACAATGAAATACAAGTGAAATATCTATTGCTGTAACTTAACATTTCACGTGCCCTATTTATTGTTTTATTTTACATGTCCTGGGCCAGCTATATCTTACTAAATGGTTGATGATGGTATAGTACATTTAACAGCTAAAAAGAAAATGTACATGTGAATAATTATTACTCAATTAAGTTTTCATGTAAGAAAATAAAATTTTGATAAATGGAAAAAACTGGTCATAAAGTCGTAAGTCCTAGAAACCCTCGTGAGGCTCTCAGACAACTAGGAACTGTAAATCACATTATGAATTCTGGTGTGAAGGAAGATTAATTTCAGGTAAATAACATTCAAAGTCAATTACATATTATGGCTACAAAGTTAGTAATTATGTGTTTTAAAGATTCATATAACTAAGCCTTGTACAAGCACTGATCTAAAATTAAGCCACCAATTCCTGAGTTTTGTGTTCAGTTTATAGAAAGAAACTCATACAACTACAAGCGTAAGAGGACTATTAGATTAGATGTATGCTTTTAGTGTACAAGAAACAGTCACGAATAACCCTGTTCTTTCTTAAGAAATAGTTTTTGACTCTTTGGGTAAGAACCCATAACATTTGCTCTAAAAAGAAATTTTAAAAATAAAGAAAACAACTACCTATTTAGTCTTAGATGATACCCATACAGATGAAATATTATTTGGACCAAATGAAAACAACATACCCAAGTGGATAAGGCCAAAGTCCTAAGAGGTGGGTCACCAATAAAAAATGTTATCAAGGTTTAATGATGAAATGATTTTTGTGATAAGCCAATCAAGTTACATGTAATTAACTAATTTAAACCATAAAAAAGATAAAATTGTACAATATTTACAGAATATCATATATCAATGAATAGGCAGAATGTAACAGAATGTGAATACAAAAATTACATTGACAAATATGAAATATAACCAAAAATCCATTTGTTCTAATGTCATGAAAATAATGGGTATAGGTAGGTCTTATTTATGCTTTTATCAATTTAAAACATCAATTCACATGTATATATAGAAGGCAGAATTATTTTGCTAACAAAACATGGGAAATGGTTCTTCACAGAAACCTAAGAATACTTAAGATAGCTACATTGGTTAGGAAAAAAAGCAGGCTCTTTTAATAATCGTTTTGATTTTCATAATTTAGTAATCAGCCCTTGTATTTATCATGGCATAAACAATTGATTGTAATTTTACTATTTCACAGCCACCTCCTACTGAAAGGCAAATGTGGTCAGGGCAATTATTCTCTCTGACCTTCATTTTTATTAAAAAAAAAATTCAAAATCTATACTTTCAGGATTCCAAGACATATTTTAGAACAACATCTTCCCAAACTTAACTACCTTGGCAAAAACTGCTCTCAAGGAATATAAATATTGATATAAAAATACAAAGTGAAAATATTAAACTGAAGAAACAAAAAAACTTAAGTTTTTCTTAGCCTGAATAATAGGAATCTCAAAGAATTGTGGTTTTGCCACAGAAAGAAGTTACTAAAAATGGAGGGAGATAATAAAAAATTAAACTTCAGAACTTGATACTCTTCGTAGATACTCAACTTATTGCATGTTTTACAGAAATCAATCTTAATGTACACATACAGGCCACCACACAGTGTCTTTTCTTACTGCCTTTCTCTTCTTGGCTTTTGAAGTAAAATATTGGTTATAATTTTTTTTTATTCTACTCACTCACTGAACACACTAGGGTCTAAAGCTAAAATAAGTTTTCATAATGAGAAAACATGAATTACCAGCACTTCAAATGCCCTATAAACATCTCTAGAATTTGGCCTGTGTTATGAACCAGCTGACCTAAGAAAAACAAAAGTAAGAAAAAAGGACAGCAATCAATTTTGACAACACTTTTTACAGCAAGTGCTTAAGGTGGTATTATAATCAATCCAAGTAGTTGCACACCAGTGTTTTTATACTGATATACACATAAGTATATATATTTACCTGGATTTCTATATATTAAATTCTGGAGGTTAAAAAAAAATCTTGTGTAAACTTTAAAAAAAAGCAATTTGCCATTTATCTCTCTCAATATATTCATTTTGACCATTCATACTATTTCTTTCTAAGAAGATAGCTGAGTACTTTGCAAACGATTTTAACAGTAGTATATTGAACTAATTATGTCTATTATTCCATCATTTCTCAATCTGTAATTCCTTACTGATAAAAGTTTTGTGCCTGTTTTATGAAGAAAATAGATTACATATAAGATTGATAGCATTTTTTGTTATGAACAATGTTAACTTTACATCTCAGAACATACTATAGAATACAAAGATTACTGTCAGGTAAGAGTACATAAGAGACAACTATGTATACATGTGGGTTTATTATACTCACATGTAGACACATTCTCACAAAAGCTAGAAATGTCCTGGTACTTAACACATAGCTCACTTTAATAATCAAATAGGATAGCTCTTGTTTCAGTGTGAAGATAAAAGATATGAAAAGTCAATACCTCTACATTTATCTACTAGGCTTTTTTTTTGTTTTTGTTTTTTTTAAGAAATATTGTGATTTTTAATAAAGACCAAACCAACTTGAACACTGGTCCCAGGCCAAATCAGATCTTTCTAGTTCACTGATTCAATGGTAGAGAACTATTTGAACATGAAGTTTATTATGACTTGAAGCAGAATCAGGAGGAAAATGATGAAGTAGTCCTTTTGTTGCAGAAAATAATCTGTGGCAGGTGTGCTTGAAACTAAATGATTTCGAAGAGCCATAATATTTCTACAAAAATAAGCAACAACAAATTTTATAATGATTTGCCAGAAATGTTAGCATAGAAACCACAATTTGATATTAAACAGTCACAGAGCATTTAATCTTAATAATTTTTAGTTGCTGGGTCATGGGGTGGCATGTAGGGGGAAGGGTTTGGGACTGCAAAGAGGAATACTTAGGGGATTGAATATTTACCCACTGTTATGGATGTATTTCCATATTTCAACTTGTACATTCCAATGAAATATTAGTCATGCACAGAGGGGACTGCAGAGGCCTTTGTTAACTGACTTTCTCAGAAACAACTCCACCTCCACATGCAACCCAGCTACATTCCTAGCATGCTACAGCAGTAAAATAAAGTGATTCCAATTCCACCCTCAGAGAAAAAACAACCTCTCCTTCCTTTCCGAGTATTTAAGTGCTAGAGGAATTTCCTAAGTGTCAAACATCAGGTGATAGAGATTAACATTCTATTTTAGCTTAGCTAAATGTTATAAAAATTGAAGTCTGCATATGGTTTCCCACATAACAGGATTCTTAACTACTCCTTGGTCTCAAATGAATAGTCACTGTCAGTATATTATTACCTTTTAATTTCTTCCTGTGTTTGTTTTATAGATTCGATGGAACTCTGAATGTCTCCCAGTTCTATTCCTTTCTTTCTTCTTGTACTTGGTTTTACTGATTGAGCTAAAAAGATATTTAGAATGAAGTTGAAACTATAAAAATAATCTACAGTTCAATTTAATGTGTCTCATATAATAAAAATTTTTCTGGACATTTGCTTTTGTGGCCTAGAGATTTGCATAATAATATGAATACTCTGTACTTTTGAAGTTTCAAACACATCATTGCAACATTAGAACACTACAAATATATTTAAATTATATATAATTTATATATATAAATTTATATATATATCAAATACATTTAAACATATATATACATGTTTATATATATGTACATATATATAAACACAAATGTACATACACTTTTTGTGTATGAGCAACACAAAACTGGAAACCTAGAGAGGGAAGATTCCTGACATTTCTAGTCATGCCAGCCAGCTGACCCTTCTCCCACACTTCACCCCTATTCAGCAGGAAGTAGCCAGAAAGAAGCAATGTCCTATATCATCAAAAGGGTCGGAATGTAACACATTAGTTGAGTTTTGGATGGCACCAGTTTTAATTTTTAACTAATTAAAACAGAAATAATTCATTAGAGAATATATATTAATTTGGGGAAGGTACTACTCCCTTCTGTTCCTTGCCCATTTGCCTACATCTGAAGAAGTCGGCCCTTTTTTCAATTTTTTATTGTTAGTGTTTAGTTACCCAAACTTTAAATCCCTTTTGATACTGTTTTTGCAAACTTTTACTGCCAATCAGCACGCTGTATATGTTTTCACAAATTCCCTCTCATATGCATTCCTTCCTTTCCATTTTTGTTCAGATCCTACTTAATCTCTCTGTATCAACTTTCTCACTTTAAAAATAGTGATAATAATACCAGACTTTACAGGATTGTTGGAAGGTATATTTAACGTACAGTCTGGCACATGTTAATTACTCAATAAATGTCTGCTGATACATCATCATAGTAACATAGTAAAGTGGGTGACAAGGTGAATTAAGGAGCCAAAAAATCTGCATATATAACACACATATACCTTATGGGGTATGTGACCTCAGGCAGGCTACTTTGTGTTTCAGTTTCTTGTCTCGCACAATGGGAATAACAATACAATTAGTTCTCTCTTCTAACACACTGGTATGCCATGTGACTCCTGCTTTTAAACCTGTATTCGTTTCATTTCTCTAACTACTCCAGTATGCTACTCCTACCCCACTCCCCAAACCTAGACTGCTATAATCCATTAGAAATCCTAATAATTCATCAGGATTCTAAGAACTTTCCCTCAAATTGAATTGCACTCCCTCTTCTTTAAACTCTTTATCATGTGTCATCTAATTTTTTAGTATCTACTATTTATTCATCTCTAGTGTTATCTTTATAGATAAAAATGGGCTCCCCAGTTTAGTGTAAACTCATTAGAGATTATGGCTTAATTTTTTTTTTGTCATAATGTCACAAACATCACTTTAATCCTTTCATGATTATATCTCAATGTAGTTCAAGATAGCTTACACATTATTTGACTCTAATAAGAATGACATACAATTTAATCTAACAGTTCATAAGTTTTATATTTTTATTGTCTGTGATTTCCAAACACTACAGAAATTTATTCTGGAAATAAAAAACTTTTTTGAAGCATAGAACTGAGCTCAAAGCTCAAAAAACTGCTTCTGAATTCAGTCTAGGGAACCATCAACAATTTTTCAGAGGCTAACAAGGCAGAAGAGGTAGCTACTACTAGAGTGTGGGTTTTTTTTTTTTTTTTTTTGAGACAGGGTCTCACTCTGTCGACCAGGCTGGAGTGCAGTAGTGCGGTATTGGCTCAGTGCATCTTCTGCCTCCTGGGTTCAAGCAATTCTCGTGCCTTAGCCTTCCAAGTAGCTAGGATTACAGGTATGCACCACCGCACACAGCTAATTTTTTTGTAGATTTAGTAGAGATGGTGTTTTGCCATGTTGGCCAGGATGGTCTTGAACTCTTGGCCTCAAGTGATCCACCAACCTCAGCATCCCAAAGTGCTGTGATTATAGGAGTGAGCCACCGCGCCTGGCCTAGAGTATGGTTCTTATTTGGATGTCTCCCCTTTTTCATTTTCTGTTCCTTTACTTTGCGTTCTGGTATCACAACTTATCTATGATCTAGAATAGCTTTTGTACCTCAACCCTGCCCCTACCAAAACTCACATAACTTCTTGAATTAATAAGAAAAACCATATTCATATCAAATTGTGTAATTTTTTTAAAAAATTAGACTCTCATAGTGAATAGCCTGCAATAAATATTTTTACCTTCACTTCCAGAGGAGTCTTGGATGTCAGGTTCTGGGGAGGAATAGCCTTTTGTTACTTTCTTCTGTTGCCTGGTTGGCTTATGTTTCATTTTGGGGACACTAACCTAAAGAAAAAAAATAACTATTTTATGAATTTGCACTGTATTTTGGCCTAAAGACCAATGGTGTACAACTGTCAAAATTATCTGCAGATAGGCATGATATTCAGAAATAAAGACAATGATGAAATAGTCTAATTCAAATTTAACAAATAAGATGAGATACACTTACACAATCAAATGACCTTATTTTAATAGAAAGTAATTTGGCACAAACGTCAAAAAGTAAAATATACAATGAAGAGTATACTCAGTCTCTCTCCCACTAAATAGGTACCCATTGATATTAGTTTGTATCCAGGGATATTTTTATGCATATATAAACAAATATGAATATAGAGCCCCCTGCCTCTGACTGCACCAGCTAGTATCTCTAGTAGAATGTTAAATAACAGTTTGTATAAATCATATTTATCTTGTTCCCAATGTTAGAAACATTCCCATTGAATGATGCTGGGTGTCCAGTAAAATTGTTTATTTACTTTTAATCACATATAGGTAGTACAGAAAGCATGTTATAATAAATAAAAATGGTATTATTTTGTGGAGCATTATTTAAACTTACTGAAAGCATTTAAGTGGATGCACAAGATTCTAAAGTATATGAAATCATCAACTATGACTAAATTTTCCTTAGAATAATAAACTTTAGACTCTATGCTACTAATAGGTTTATAATTTTGGTGTTCAGTATTTAACTTAAAAACCTAAATGCAAGAGACGAAACTAGAATCAGAAAGACAAGATGTATTAGTCTGTTTTTATGCTGCTGATAAAGACATATGCAAGATTGGGATGAAAAGGTTTAATCTGACTTACAGTTCCACACGGCTGGGGAGGTCTCATAATCATGGCAGAGGGCAAAAGGCACTTCTTACATGGTGGCAGCAAGACAGAATGAGGAAAATGCAAAAGCGGAAATTCCTGATAGAACCATCAGATCTCGAGAGACTTACTCGCTACCACAGTATGGGGGAAACTGCCCCCATGATCCAAATGATGTCTCATCAGGTCTCTCCCACAACACATGGGAATTATGGGAGTACAATTCAAGATGAGATTTGGGTGGGGGACACAGAACCAAATCATATCATTTCACCCCTGGTTCCTCTACATACGTCTTCACATTTCAAAACTAATCATGCCTTCCCAACAGTCCCCCAAAATCTCAACTCATTTCAGCATTAATCCAAAAGTCCAAAGTCTCATCTGAAACAAGTCCCTTCTGCCTATGAGCCTGTAAAATCAAAAGCAAGCTAGTTACTAGCTAAATACAATGGGGTACAGGCATTGGGTAAATACAGCCATTCCAAATGGGAGAAATTTGGAAACAAGAGGGTTATGGGGCCCATGAAAGTTTGAAATCCAGTGGGGCAGTCAAATTTTAAAGCTCCAAAATGATCTCCTTTGACTCCATGTTTCAGATCCAGGTCATGCTGATGCAAGAGGCAGGTTCCACAGTCTTGGGCAGCTCCACCCCTGTGGCTTTGCAGGATATCCCCTCCTGGCTGCTTTCATGGGCTGGCGTTGACTGTCTGTGGCTTTTCCAGGTGCACAGTGCAAACTGTCAGTGGATCTACAATTCTGGGGTCTGGAGGATGGTGGCCCTCTTCTCACAGCTCCATTAGGCAGTGCCCCCAGTAGGGACTCTGTGTGTGGGCTCTTCTCCCACATTGCCTTTCCGCACTGCCCTAGCAGAGGTTCTTTATGAGGACTTCGCTCCTGCAGCAAACTTTTTCCTGGGCATCCTGGTGTTTCCATACATCTTCTGAAATCTAGGCAGAGGTTCCCAAACCCTCAATTCTTGACTTTTGTGCACCTTGACTTTTGTAGGCTCAACACCAGGTGGAAGCTGCCAAGGTTTGGGGCTTGCACCCTCTGAAACCATGAGCAGAGGCTGTACCTTGGCCCCTTTTAGCAATGGCTGGAGTGGCTGGGATATAGGGTACCAAGTCCCTGGGTTGCACACAGTATGGAGACCCTGGGCCCAGCCCACAAAATCATTTTTACCTCCTAGGCTTCCCAGTCTGTGAAGGGAGGTGCTGCCATCAAGACCTAGGACATGCAATAGAGACATAACACTGTCTTGGGAATTAACATTTGACTCCTTGTTACTTATGCAAATTTCTGCAGCCAACTGAATTTCTCCTCAAAAAATGGGTTTTTCTTTTTTACTGCATCATCAGGCTGCAAATTTTCCAAACTTTTATGTTCTGTTCCCCTTTTAAAACAGACTGCTTTTTAACAGCAAACAAATCACTTCTTGAAAGCCTTGCTCCTTAGAAATTTATTCTGCCAGATACCCTAAATCATTTCTTTCACATTCAAAGTTCCATAAATCTCTATGGCAGGGCCAAAATGCCACCAGTCTCTTTGCCAAAACATAACAAGAGCCAGATTTGCTCCAGTTTCCAACAAATTTCTCATCTTCATCTGAGACCACTTCAGCCTGGACCTTATTGTTCATGTCACTATCAACATTTTTTGTCAAAGCAATTCAACAAGTCACTAGGAGGTTCCAAACTTTCCCACATTTTCCTGTCTTCTTCTTACCCTCCCAACTGTTCCAACCTCTGTCTGATACCCAGTTCCAAAGTTGCTTCCATATTTTTGGGGTATCTTTTCAGCAGCATCTCACTCTAATTTGCAATATTAGTCCCTTTTTACACTGCTGATAAAGACATACCCAAGACTGGGAAGAAAAGGAGGCTTAATTTGATGTTCAGTTCCACATGGCTAGGGAGATCTCGTAATCATGGTGCAAGGCAAAAGGCCCCCCTTCCTAAATGGTGGCAGGAAGAGAGAATGAGGAAGATGCAAAAATGGAAACCTCTGATAAAACCATCAGATCTCACGAGACTTATTCACTACTATGAAAACTGTATGGGGGAAACCGCCCCTATGATTCAAATTATCTCCCACTGTGTCCCTCCCACAGCATGTGGAAATTATGGGAGTACAATTCAAGATGAGATGTGGATGGGGACACAAAGCCAAACTATATCACAAGGTAATCATTATGCTTGAAAAAACAGAGAAAAGTGGTCAACAACTTGGTTCTTTCTTGTTCACCACTCTAACAGGAAGTATTCCCAATTACTTATTTCTTGAAATAATTTTGCAAAATCTTGTTCATGTATTTAAAAATAAAATTTCTATAATATGCAACAAGCAGGCAGGTTTGGACCATACTCCTATGTCAAATGCTGGAGACTTAAAATTTTATAACATTTAAAATAGAAATCCACATTTCTAGAGTAGGTTCAAATTGGAGATTGATGAAGACTAGTGAGAAACTTATTGAAAATAACAAGGGAAGTCAGAAATACAACTAGAGACATACAAAGATTTACTCTTATCAGTAAAGTATTCCTTTAGGGAGAAATACAGAAGCCTTGTGTGTATCTATTTAGGGTTGTTAAAAGAATACGGTTTTTAAAGTTTTTGAATTTTTAAATTTCATAAGATATATAAAATAAACCGTATCATTTTAACCATTTTATGTGTACAACTCAGTGGCATTAATTATATTCACAATATTATGCATCCATCACCACAATTCCAAAACATTTTTATCTTCCTCAAGAAAGCTTGTGTAACAATTAAGCATTTCCTTTCCTCTGGTCCTGGTAACCATTTCTAATCTTTTTGTCTCTATGAATCTGCTACCCTATATATTTTATGTAAGTGGAATCACACAATATTGGTCCTTTTGTGTTTGGTTTATTTAACTTAGAAGAATATTTTCATGGTTCATCCACATTATAGCATGTAACAGAACTTTATTCCCACGGCTGAATAATATTTCATGGTATGTATATACTACATTTCCTTTATCCATTCATCTGCTGATGGACACATGGATTGTTTCTACCTTTTGGTTATTATGAATAATGCTGCTATGAACATTGCCATACTCGAATCTATTTGAGTACTTGTTTTTAATTCTTTTGGAGTAGAATTGCCAGGTCATGTGGTAATTCTATGTTTGGCTTTTGAGGACTTGCCAAACTATTTTTCACAGTGACTGCACTATTTCACATTCCCACCAGTAATGCAGCAATGTACAAGGATTCTAATTTCTCCACATCCTCACCAACACTTGTTATTTTTCTCTTTCTAATAGGTATGATACAGTATCTAATTGTGGTTTGGATTTGTATTTCCCTTCTTACTAATGATACTGAACATCTTTTCATGTGTTTGTTGGCCATCTGTACATCTTCTTTGGAGAAACATCTTATCAAGTCCTTTGCTCACTTTTAAATCAGGTTGTCTTTTAAAGTCAGGAATTCTTTAGGTATTCTGGATATCAAGGCTTTATCAGATAAATAATTTTCAAATATTTCTCATTCTATAGGTTGGCTCTTCACTTTGTTGACAGTGTCCCTTTGATGCACGAAGTTTTAAATTTTTATGAAGTCCAATTTACCCACTTGTTGCTGTTGTTACTCGTGCTTTTAGTGTCATATCTAAGAATGCATTGCCAAATACAAGGTCGTAATGACTTATCCCGGTTTTCTACTAAGACTTTTATGGATTTAGCTGCAATTTTGGGTTGCAGACCCTTTTGAGTTAATTTTTAGGTGGAGGGTCCAACTTCATTCTTTTGTATGTGGATAGTTATCCCAGCACTGTTTGTTGAAGACTGTTCTTTTCCCACTGGGTGGACTTGATATCTTTGTAAAAAATAAACTGGTGGCTGGCAAGATGGCCGAATAGAAACAGCTCCAGTCTGCAGCTCCCTGCAGGATCAACGCAGAAAGCAATAGATGCACTCCACGGAGAGTGAGCTGAAGCACAGTGGGGCAACGCCTCACCTGAGAAGTGCAAGGGGTCGGGAAACTCCCTCCCCTAGCCAAGGGAAGTCATCGGGGACTGTGCATTCCAGCTCAGATACTATACTTTTCCCACGGTTTTCGCAACCAACAGATCAGGAGAATCCCTTGGGTGCCTACAGCACAAAAGCACTGGGTTTCAAGCACAAAACTGGGCAGCCACTTGGG